GATACCTACCACGATTAGGGATTTGATTTACCCTAATAAATCAAATCCCTAATTAATCAAATTAATTCCAAATAGGGGAGGAATAATTCCTTTCCATCTATGGAATTATTCCTCTGAAACCCTAATCTCCGAGACCATTATAAATACTTGGCTACGCACAAAGGTCAAGGTACGTCTAAATTCCTACTGAAACTCTGCAGAAATTATTTCTCACAAACCCTAGCCACCACTTTCTTTCTCTCTCTGACACAAGGCTCCGGCCACCACACACGGCTCTGGCGACCCGGTTTTCCTTGAAATACCCGACCTAACTTAGGCATCGGAGGGCCTTTAGCCAACACCCCCCGAGTGTGGTCCTTTTACCCCGATTTGTTTTGTAGGGAGAAAGAGAAGTGGAGAAGACGAAGGAATCTTAGACGAATATTCTAGTGGGACGAAATTTGCTCCCACAAATTGGTGCTTTCATTGAGAGCACAACATATATTCAAAGCGTGCTCCAAATCCATCTTTCACACATTTTTTCAAACAACCACGGTTGATACAAGACGTACGAAGAGTAACACCACCACGACGGTCCCATCTCATGGTTTCGTGGTGGAAACCTCAATGCAACCGCACGGAATCATGGCTGCCAATGCCTTGCAGTAGTCTTCTAGTGCTTTGCAGCTGCCTCCAACTGCTGGAATTGCAGAACAGCCGCCACATGACCTCGGGACCTCCACAGCCTTGCAGTCGCTAGTGCCGATTACTGGAGCTGCTCTGCCTCGTTGTCCTGCCGTCGGAGCACAACAGTAGCCACACCACTTAACTACCAGACTTGCTGCATAGCCCCACGGCTACTCTGATGTCGTCCCAGTCTTGAAGCAGATCCATTCTCTTTCTTCTACGATCACACCTGACATATGCACATGTGTACGCGTCTGATGGAGCCCTAGCCCACATGCCGTTGGGCTCGATGCACACCACTCTACTTGACCCGTGCAGTCAGGTGGACCTTAACTCACGAGTTGATCAACTCACACAGAAGGTCGATGATCAAAACAACCTGATTGGCCAGCTACTCAGGCAGATCAACTTGAATCAAGGCCCCAACCTTTTAGCTAAGGAGACTATCTATTACATGAATTCATTCCCAAACCGCTCTGTTGACGAGGACATGAGAAATATAGTGAATACGTAAGTTTCTTAATGAAAACCTATGATTTTTTATATCTGCATTTGATTGATACAACGACTTTTTCCAATACCGACGTTGTAGTGAAAACACGACGACGGTATATTATAACCGACATTGCGAATCATTTACAACGTTCGTATTTTCTTGAAACCATCATCGTAATTGAAATACCACGTCGATTTTGTTTTTAATTTTAGGAATTTTTAATTTTTTCAGTTAAACTTTCAATTAAAATTAACTTTGGTTATACATCGTTTTTCTTCTTCACCGACGTTAGAATGAAACACAACGATGGTTCTTATTTTTCGACGTTGTATATGAAATACAACGTCATTTGTTTTACAAAACCGTCGTCTTCAATTATTTACCGCGACGGTTAATAATTTTGATGTTGATTTTTTGTTTTGTCATTAACACTTTTTGTTTTCTTAATACAGTTCAATCAAAATGTATAACTCTCACACAGGGAAACAATCATCGCGTAAATCACCCATATGGAAAAATCTACAAGGCACTCCTAGACAACCAACAAATGTGGAGTGTGGCTATTACGTGATGCATTTCATGAGAGATATAATTCATGATCCAGCCCTAGCCTTTGAGAAGAAGGTAAAATTTCATATATAATTTCTTTATTTTAATACCACAACATTTGCTTTAAAAACTGTCGTTTTATTACTTGTAACACGTCGGTTTTTGTTCTTTATTTGCAGTTTGACAAGAAAACGGAATCAGTTGTGTATACTCAAGAACATATTGACGAAGTCAGTGCTGGAATGGGCAGAATTCGTGAACAAACAATTACAAAACAATAATTGATATAATACATGTATTTTAAAATATTTAGGTTTATTTTAATTTTTTTGACAATGTATATAAACATATTTTTAGTAATTATTTGAACATTCATAAAAAAAATCAAATGAAATATATTGTTGTTTCTAATTTTTTTTTTTGAATAAAATATAAATGTGTTAAAATGAACTAAAATGAAAATAAATCATAAAAATGTAAATTAATTCCCAAAATCCGACGTCTCATTCATCTTTACACGTCTCTTATATATAGTTGGAAACAAAACATCGACGACATTTCTCAAAAACGACATTTAAGGTTGATATACACGTCGGTTTCTTTAAAAAACTGAAATCTACGAAAAAATTTGTAGAGACGATAACCATGGAGAAATAGAATCTAGGGTTTGAGTTCAGACAGAGAAAGCAAAAGGAGAGAAAGGAAGAAAAGAGCTCTGTTTATTTCTGTTATTAAGTTATTACATTGCGACGTTTAATGCATTACTTAACGTCGTTGTAAACTAATGCAATGTCGGTTATGTACTTTTGTATTCAATTTTTATATGACCTTTATATTTTATTCCTAATATTGCTAATAATTTCAAAACAAATTCCATAAAATAAACTGACAACTACTATGCACTCATTGGAAGATTTTATCTCCCCTGAATCTTTAAAAAATTTAATTTTAATATTATTTTTATTTCTATTTAATTACTAATTTTCAAAACATATTCATAAAAAATTTGAAAAATAAACTGACAAATTCTATGCACTCATTGAGACAATATCTATCCCCTACATGCCTGAAAATTTTAATTTTAGATTTCAAAATTAGAAGTGATAACAAAAGTCAAAATGATTTAGAGACAAAGCACAATAGTCATTATACTTTCCATTACATAACCCTAAGGTTTATGTGAGTCATTGGTGGTCACAAAACAATAATTGATAATATATATTTATTAAAAAATGTATAGGTTTATTTTAATTTTTTGACAATGTATATAAACATATTGTAAAAATGTGTTAAAATGAACTAAAATGAAAATAAATCATAAAAACGTAAATTAATTCCCAAAATCCGTCGTCTCATTCATCTTTACACGTCTCTTATATATAGTTGGAAACAAAACATCGACGGCATTTCTCAAAAACGACATTTAAGGTTGATATACACGTCGGTTTCTTTAAAAAACTGAAATCTACGAAAAAATTTGTAGAGACGATAACCATGGAGAAATAGAATCTAGGGTTTGAGTTCAGACAGAGAAAGCAAAAGGAGAGAAAGGAAGAAAAGAGCTCTGTTTATTTCTGTTATTATTTATGTTGTCTAAAATCTGTTACAATGCAACTTTACTTAAGCAGAGCCTAAGCTCATCTTTATATAACTAACTAACTTTCTTCTCCTCTAAGTATTCTAACTAACACTCACATGCTAAACACGTGACTACTCTATCTCAGTAACAATACTGTTAACACCCCCCCTCAAGCTCAACTGGGGAAGAGCCAAGGGTATTGGAGCAATGTTTAGTGAATATTGGGCTGTGAAGCCCTTTGGCCAGGAACATATTGAACAAGAAGATCTTTATTTTGAACACGTTCTCGAATGAAGTGAAAGTCCACATCCAAATGCTTAATGCGAGAATGGAATATGGGGTTGGCACTGAGGGCTAGAGTAGACAAGTTATCACTGTGAAGCAAAGGTGCTTCAGGAATTAACATATGTAAATCACACAGGACTTGCCTAATCCATGAGATTTTTGCAGCACAGTGTGCAAGCGCTCGATATTCGACTTCCATAGAGCTGCGAGAGACAGAGGCTTGCTTTTTGGAGGACCAAGAGATCGGATTGGAACCAAGAAACACAACATAACTAGTAGTGGATCTGCATGTATTGGGATCACCAGCCCAATCTGCATCACAATATCCATATAAGACCATAGTCCTTGGAGAAAACGTGACACCAAACTGCAAATATCTGAGGATGCGTTTAACAAGACCAAAGTGAACATTTGTGGGACTGTGCATATATTGATAGACTGTGTTAACAGCAAAAGCAATGTCGGGTCTCGTGAACGTCAAGTATTGCAAAGCACCTACAAGGCTTCGAAAGTGTGTAGGATCAGAAAGAGGGATACCTTCATCCCTTAAGACTTGATGATGTGGTTTAGAAGGAGTGCTACAAGGCCTACATGTGTCCATAGATGCCTTTTTGATGAGATCTTTAGCATACTTGTGTTGATTAATAAAGATCATACCCCTTGGCTGATAGTGTACCTCAAGGCCGAGAAAATAACAAAGCTTGCCCAAATCCTTAAGTTCAAACACTTCACCAAGTGCATGAATAATAGAGGTCACTAATGTGGATAATGTCATCGACATATAGTAATAAAATGACAACATCAGAGCCAGTTTTCTTCACAAACAAGCTAGAATCAGAATGAGAGACAGAGAACCCTAAGGTGGGTAAATAGCCTGTAAACTTAGCATTCCATGCTCGAGGTGCTTGTTTTAATCCGTAAAGAGATTTCTGAAGTTTGCATACATAATCAGGATATTGAGAGTCGATAAACCCCTGGGGTTGCTTCATAAACACCTCTTCTTGAAAATCACCGTGAAGGAAGGCATTTTTCACATCCAACTGTTGTAATTCCCACTGAAAGTTTACAGCCAAGCTGAGAATGAGATGAATTTTTGTATGGCATACCACAGGACTGAAGGTTTCATCATAATCCAAGCCATATTCTTGACTGAATCCCTGAGCAACCAATCTGGCTTTATAGCGAGAGATAGTGCCATCTACATGCCTTTTTATTTTAAAAATTCATTTACAGCCGACAATGTTTGAATCTGGAGGAGGAGGAACAAGGGTCCAGGTACCTTGCTAATCAAGATCTTGAATTTCTTCGGTCATAGCTTGTTGCCAAGCTGGGTGACCAATAGCTTGCCTAAAATGTGAGGGAGTATCTGGTTCTGTAATGGTAGCTAGCTGAGTATGAAAACTAGATAACTTTGGAAAAGACTTAGTTTGCACAATACCAGATTTGGACTGAGTTTGCATAGAATAAGTGTTCCTGGGATTTGCAGACTGTGGTGCACACTGCATCTGTGAAGATGAAGTGGGAAAAGGAAGAAGCACCTCTAACTGTGCATCTGTAAAAATAGGAATCATCTTATCATTATGGCTAGGATTTGAACTTGATGTGGTAGACAAAGAGGAAGCAGAGGAATGAGAAGGCTGGGCTTGTGGCATAGATGTCATAACAATAGCAACGGGTGACTTCTGAGCAGAGATGGTTTGTGAAGCTGAAGCTGAGGATGAGCATTAAGTATTCTTAAAAGGAAATATGTCTTCATTATGTATAACATGCCGAGAAATATTAATCATCTGATTTTGCAGATCATAACATAAAACACCTTTACACCCCATGGAGTATCTTAAGAAAACATGCTGATGAGATCGTGGTTCGAGTTTGTGAGTATTATATGGGTGAAGTAATGGATAAACTACTGATCCAAAGACTTTGAAAGAAAGTAGATCTGGATGAGTACCAAAGAGTTTATAATAAGGAGAGAGCACAGTGAGAACCTTACTTGGCATGCGATTGATCAAAAAAGTTGCATGAGTAAAGCAAGAGTAGTCTCAATGAGGTGTCTATTCTTGCCTTCGGCTAGTCCATTTTGCTGTGGGGTGTATGGACAAGAGAGCTAATGCAGAATGCCTTTAGAGGCTAGAAAATCTTTAGACAGTCGACTAATGTATTCACCACCACCATCGGATTGCAAAAACTGAACTTGGGCCTGATAATGCGTCACAATATATGCACGAAACCGTATGAAAACAGAGGCAACTTCTTATTTATTAATCGAGGGAAATACCCACATGTTACGTGTACAATCATCGATAATTGTGAGGAAATATCTATAACCCCCTAGAGCTGTAATAGCTGAAGGACCCCAAACGTCTGTGTGCAACTTAGAAAATGGTTTAAGACTAGTGATAGAAGATGAAGGACATGGCAGCTTGTGCATCTTTCCTTGTAAACATGAATCACACATCTTAGGAATGGAATATACAGACAAGGGAATATGAGACATCTTTAACATGTGATGAAGAACATCATTGGAAACATGGCCTAGTCGAAGAAGCCACAACTTGATCTTGATGTGTTGGCCCAACAGTGCGAGAGGCCTTGAATTTGCTGTTGAAGCTATAGGTAGCTTGTTTTGAACTTTATTGATGACTGCATCCTTATCGTTGACTGCAGCTTTATTAGCTAGAACAAGTTCTGAAGAAGTTGAGTGTGACCTGTGAGACTGTGACCTGTGAGACTGGGAAAGTGAAGGATGAAGCTATTGAGGAAGAATCTATGGAATTGGATACAATCCCTTGTCACTCTGACCTTTGTACAGAACCTTGTTGGTCTGCTTGTCCTGCACATAGATGTGATATTCATCAAATACAACAATGCAGTTGTTATCCTTACAGAGTTGATATACAGAAAAAAGATTGGTTGCAAGTTAAGGAACATGATACACTTGTTTTAAGTGTAAGGTGCCAGGTAAATCTGATAAAGTGGAATATCCAATATGGTCTATTTGTAGGCCTTCCCCATTGCCTATAGTGATCTTGTCCTCAGAAGAATAAGGAGCAGATGCTTGCAATCAATGAACATTGGGCGTCATGTGATGAGACACTCCACTGTCAGCTATCCAGAGGTCATTTGGAGTAAAAGGAGAGGAAAGATTGGCAGTCATTGCCTAAAGGGACTATGGAGGAGGAGTGCCTTGATAAGCAAAATTGGCTCTGTGATAGCAGTCAACGAATTCAGGAAGCAGAAAAGGAGCTTCGTGCTTCAAGAAACTAGAGCAAATGCTTCTTGCTTCAAGTGCGCAGAGAAAGAAAATAGATCAAGTGCTTCGTGCTTCAATTATGCAGAGAAATCAGCTTCGTGCTCCAAAACAAAAATATAGAATATGCTTCATGCTTAATAAAATTGTATCATGCGTAAACGGCAATTGAATTCAGAATCATCATATCGGAGATCACCGTGTCAAGAAGAACAGTGCACGAAGAAAGTTAGCGAAGAACACTTGCAGAATCGCTAGAAATAAAATCAGACTGGAAAGAAGCGTGTTCATCCAACGAACTGCCATTGATGTAATTTCGAGTCGAGCCAGAATCTTAGAAATTGATTGTGATATAGTGGAGTGGAAGCGAAAAGGATCAGGAATCAAAGAGCCGAAGCTCTGATATCATGATAACCATGGAGAAATAGAATCTAGGGTTTGAGTTTAGACAGAGAAAGCAAAAGGAGAGAGAGGAAGAAAAGAGATCTGTTTATTTCTATTATCTAAAATCTGTTACAATGCAACTTTACTTAAGTAGAGCCTAAGCTCATCTTTATATAACTAACTAACTTTCTTCTCCTCTAAGTATTCTCACTAACACTCACGTGCTAAACATGTGACTACTCTATCTCAGTAACAATACTGTTAACAAATACAACGTTCGTTACATGTTAAATGCTGACGTTCTATCCATAAACAACGTCATCATCAGAATAGTAATAGACGTTGTAAATAACTAAACACGTCGGTTATTACATTGCGACGTTTAATGTTTACTAGGACGACGTTATGCATTACTTAACATCGTTGTAAACTGATGCAACGTCCGTTATGTACTTTTGTATTCAATTTTTATATGACCTTTATATTTAATTCCTAATATTCCTAATAATTTCCAAAAAAATTCCATAAAATAAACTGACAACTACTATGCACTCATTGGAAGATTTTATCTCCCCTAAATATTTAAAAAATTTAATTTTAAAATTATTTTATTTGTATTTAATTACTAATATTCATAAAATATTCATAAAAAATCCGAAAAATAAACTGACAAATTCTATGCACTCATTGAGACAATATTTATCCCCTACATGCTTGAAAATTTTAATTTTAGATTTCAAAATTAGAAGTGATAACAAAAGTCAAAATGATTTAGAGACAAAGCACATTGGTGGTCATAAAATTGAAAATTCTTTAAAATAGATTTTAGCCTAATAATATAGAAGGCATTGTTGTAAGGATCCCATAAAAATTTTCGGTTCATTTTTCTCATACTTGTATATTTTTTTTTATAATTATTGTAAAATTTAGGGTTTAGGGTTTAGGGTTTAGGTTTTATTGAAACAAAGCCGGTTTGCTCTCGCTCTTTTTGGTCAATACACGCGTTCGAATCCCAAGAAATGCACACCAAAGCTAATTTTTTAATATTTTAGACGTCGGTTTTTGTATGGGAGATGTCAAAACATAATACAACGTCATAAATGTAAAATAACCGTTGTTATAAATATGAAATTAAACGACTACTAGGTTGTATTTACCGTCGTCTTTAATAAACGCGGTCCCTTGAAATTTTTGACCGGGATCTAAAATTTTCCGAATTTCCATTTAACCCTAAAGCATTTCCTTCTCTCTCTTCAACGTAAATTTGTCTTAAAGTTTTCGCTCTCTCTCAAAGCATTGGGTATTTTCTCTGAGCTCCTTCTCAAAGCATTGGGTATATTCTCAGAGCTCTCTCAAGCATTTGATATTTTCTCTCAGCTCTCTCTGAATATCCATGTAAGTATATTCTCTCAGCTCTCTCTCAATATTCTCTTATTATTAGTTTGTATATATTCTCTCAGCACTCTCTCAATATTCTCTTAGTTTGTATATTCTCTTAGATCTCTCTAAATATTCTGTTAGTTTGTATATTCTCTCAGCTTTGGTTTCTTAATATGGGTTCTTTTATGTTTTGGTTCTTGATTGGGAGCTATATATGGGTTCTTTTATGTTTTGATGTTTGCATTCTGTTAAGGGTTCTTTTATTATACGTCGGCTTTTTATTTACTATTGCCGTCGTTGTTAGTCGACCATAACCCAGCCCTGTTCTTCAAGAAGAATACAGATATATTGTTGTTTGCTTAAAGACGACGGTAAATAGACATACCATCGTCTTAATATATGTTACGCGACGATTATTTTGTACAAACCATCGTCTGATTATTGTGCAATGTTTTTTTCATTTTTCCCACTTTGTTCTCTTCTCTGTCAATATAGTAGTGTTTCATTTCTGGTCTTTTTACTTTATTATATGTATGATTTTATAGTGTGTGAGATGGATAAGTCATGGATGGATGCATATAGAAGATCGAAGGCATATGAGTTAGGTGTGGAAGGATTTTTGAATTTTGCTGTAGAAAATCCTTTAAATACAACTCGTATTCATTGTCCATGTGTTAAATGTGGGAATATTCGATTGTTTGGAGTTGGAATTATAAGGGACCACTTATACTTTAATGGAATTGACCAAAGCTATAAGATTT